AGCTTTAGGGCTTCAGTGAAATCATATCCAGTTAGTAAAAAGCTAATCTGCATCTCAAGGTGATTTACAAAAGAATAAAAGATACTGGAACCATGGGATAAGAATGACTGATGGATTTCTACACATTAGAGAAAACAGCAGATTGATACAGCAAGGTGGCACAACCACCTACCATCCAGTGCTAGACCTTGAATACAGATACAGTAACTGAAGAGAAGTCACCCACTGAGGCACAGAGTTGGGCGCTGTCTTCTCAGAAGTGGTAGCTTATAAGATGATGGGAGATGAAGTACTCAAAGAGCAAAAATAGGGAAAATAACAGAGCACTGCGCAGAGCCCCGAGACCCTGGTCAAATTCACTGGCATATTAAGGAAGAACGAGGAGATCTGACACTGGGTGTGAATCTGAAGAATTTAGGGCACCACACCAGAAACTCAAATGTATGGTGTCCCGCAAGTATGGGCCTAACTGGGTACAGTAAGCAGTCATGCAGAACAGGGAGTGAAGAAGAAGCAATGCATTATGGTGATTCATTGCATGCGGTAATAAAAGAAAATCAAAAGGTATAATCTGGTTGATTAGAGAAAGCCTGCCAGAATATGACAAAATTATGATACTCTGACAATGAGTGTGTACAAAGAAGACTGCCCCAAGGGAGGGTTCTGGGAAGAAGTAACTGGCAGGCACGAATATTTAATTTACAGTGTCTTACCAGCAACTCTCAAGATGCTCAGAAGAGTGGGCTCTATTTTGAGTATCTTGGCTAGTTTCATACTACTTAGGGACAGTATAGTGCTCAAGAGACCAGGCTCTGAGGACAGATCGCTTGGCACAAACTTGCCTCAGTTACTCTTTGGCTGTGTGATCTTGAAATTCCCATGCCTCAATTTCTCTAATCTGCAAAATAGGGATTGTACTTTTATATGTAAATGTTAAGGTATTAAATAGTAAAGACAATTGTTTAGAATTGTGCTTGGAACATAGAAAATGTTCCATAAGTATTTGTTCTTATTCTATTATGACTACACTTTCTTCTACTATTCCACTGCTTAACATAAATCGACAACAAAATCTTAACCAGTGTTAATGACTTAAGCCAGTAAAATGCAGCCCAAATTGTTGAAATCTTTGATAGTGCCTAGGATTCCTGGCAGGTCAGAGTCTACTCCAAAGGATGTCAGAGTTCCTGAAATAGAGCTCAGGATCGCAGGAGCCCCCACAAACACTCATGGCTGTCCGGCCCACATTGTGCCTTCTCTGGAAAGACTTCCTTGGGTGTCTAGCTGGCCTGTAGCTCAGTGGTTGCACATGTTATTGGTAGGATTTCTCTTGTTTATTGAACAGACAGTTTGGTGTTCGTGTAAATAGCTTTTCTTTATTCCTCCACAGCATCTCCCTTGTCCCTTATGAATAATGACAGGGAACCCTAAAAAAGAACAATACTTCTAAAAAGATGAGGAAGTGTTTAACAAGCATGCATGGTGTTAAAGCCCAGGGTGTACTGCTGATTTAGTGTACGTCTTAAGCTCTGTGAAATGGTTTCTTCCCTTATAAAATGAGAATTATGCCTACTTGGTCAGCTTCACAGCACTGTCACGCAAGTCACAGAGACAACCGGATATAAACCGGACTGTGTAAAGGAGAAGTATTTTATAAGAGACTAATGATGTCCTGTATTGGTCCTAATTATTTTCAAAAGATAAAAGATGCCCTAGAAATTCTCCAAAATCAAGGAATATCACTGACAGCATCTATTTTTGTTCAGCTTTGTCAATTTTATCTTACCCCTGCCACTTCACAGACTCATTCCAAAGATTAAACAAAGATTTTAAATGAAAACAATCAATTCACCCTAAGGTGGCAAAAGTAATGATATTCATTAGGTGCTTGCTACTTGCTAGCCACGATGCGAGAAAGATTTTAGGTGTAACATTATATAGTTCCTTAACCAATATTCCAAGAAAGACACTAGATTGTCCCTGTTTTGCTCATGGGAATACTGAAGCTCAAAGAATTCATGCAGATGTCAAATCTGGGATTTGAATCCAGGACTTATCTTTCTTAGTTGTATTGCCAGGACAAACTCTGTACCAGCCCATGGCTCCCTTTCTCTCTAAAGACTCACTTTGTGGGGCTCACGATGCTATGTGGGCCTTCAGGGTGGCTCCAGAATAGAATCATCAACGTTAAAACTGTGAATGTTAAGGATCTATTACATTTCACATAAACAACTCTGTATCTAATATAGTCTTCAAAAATTTTTTTTCAGCATTGGAGATTGAATCCAGAGCCTGCACACTGAGGTACATCCCTGGCCTTTTTCATTTTTTAAGATAGGGTCTCACTAAGTTGCTCAGGTGGAACTTACACTTGTACTTGTCCTCCCTGAACTTCCCAAAGTGCTGCAATTACAGGAATGATCCACCATGATCAGCTAGTTCCTATTCTCAATTCTTGCTTTCTATAGTAGCAATTATTTCTGTATCTTATTGATTGAACAATTAAGACTCAACACCCTGTATAGCACCTTAGGCAATATTCAACTACAGATACGTGGGAATCATCTATAAATAACACTGAAATACACATCATCTGTAAATAATACCAAAATACACATCTCTGGGAGAAATGTATCCTAATGGCATTAAAAGAGTTGTCCTGAAACATCCTTAGCATTCAAGCTCAAAAGAATAAGGGAGAAATAGCAGGATATAAAACTGCATGGAATCTAACAGACCTGGGTTTATAAATCTAGGTGAGCTTATCGCCCAACAAAGTACTTCTTTAAGTTTCTGTTTCTTCATCTACAACCTGAGAACATCAGCACGTTTACTACACAGTGTTGTCCTAAAGTTCACATTTATTGGTAAGCACAAAGTGTACAAAGTCCACAGAATAATGCTTTGCTGTTTCTTCTGTTTCATGCCACTAAAAGATACTCTGTGATAGTGGCCTTTAGGGAATAGTTTCATAGTTCACTGAAATTATACATAAACTTTCAATTATCTGAAACTATTAAAAACGTTTATGACCAGCCACACCCACAAACAGAAACCAAAGGCTAGGAGAGGACTTCTCACAGGAATCACTGAAGATGGTAATTGTGGTGACAGATACTTTATTTTAGCACAGGGTGGTTCCCAGGCCAGATGTATGGAATGAAATCCGTAGATAATAGAAGGCACTAGATAAGAACATATTCCAGGGAGTGTAGTATATCCTTAATCTCAGTTGTTTCAGCAGATCGGGACCTTGTCCTTTCAAAGAGATTTCCTAAGGTAGTAGGCAGAAGTATCATTTAGAGAGAAAGACCTAAGTCCAAAGTGCAGTGTCAACTGACTTTGGGTCAGTTGCTTAATTTCTCTAATCATCATTTTCCTCTTGGAAATATTAATAATAAATTCATTAAAAGAGCTACTTCATTGAGTTAAATCATTATATGAGGTGGTATAGCATTAAATTAAATGCTGTAGGAAACTCATGACATGTAAAAAATAATCACTAAAGATGTAATTATAGCTTAATAATAATGCTGATAATAGTAATGTAGGAAATGAGAAAGAATTCTGCCTGCATCATAACCATAGTCCTAGGGATCTGAACCAATGTGAAAAAAAAAATCTCCAACATACTTGGCACATAATGGGCCAGCTTTCTGCTGGTTTACCTTTGCTGTCATTTGGACCTTCCATCATGTCCTCAATTTCTAGTCCAACCAGAGTCTTGGACAATCAAAGCGTTACCCCTAGAGTGTGTGAGAGGTGAGGGTTCATTCCAGGTCCCGGTTATACCACAGGAGACCCCAGGGATCTGGTCAAGATTGGAAAGTTCCCTATGCCTCACTAAAAAAAAATCAGGGACAACTGCAAAATGTCAATTTGAGACGTTAGAGCGCCACCTTTGGAAAACAGAAAAATCCTCTGAAGTTCAGGGGGTCACTTCACAAACTCCATCTGCACTTCTGCCACGGCAGCATCTTCCCAAGGATGTTTCTATTTTCTTTATGTATTATTCTTACATTTCTGCCTTTGCCTATATTTAAATTCTCAACTTAATGATTTCAAATGTTCTCTATGTTGTTCTACTTTAAAATAAAAAAATCACTATGAAAGAAAATTTACCTGGGAGTGGTGAAGTACAGTTGTAATCTGGGCACTTTGGGAAGCTAAGGCAGGAGGGCAAAAGCTCAAGGCTAGCCTGGGAAATGTAGCAACTTAGTAAGCCTCTGTCTTAAAACAAAAAATAAAAAATAAAAATAAAAAAGGGGTAGCTCAGTGTGAACACCTTGGGTTCAAGGCCCAGTTTTGGGGGAAAAAGAAGGAAAAAATTAACTTATCAAAGAGTAAGATATCGAATCTAAAGATCAAAAAGGAAAACATGCATTGGCATCGGGGATTATTATATCTTTACATGATGACAGTCTAGCAAAACTGCTAGTTAAACCAAAATTAAATCCTGATTTCTACAAAGCAATAAATAAGTAAATAAACAAACTTGATTTCTTTAAAATACATTTCTATTGTCACTGAAACAGTATTTTCTCACTGCAAGAGCAATAGAATTTACCAACTAAACAAACCTATTGCTTCTAATACTCGGTGAGTTAATAATTAAATGTTGCCTTGGATCTACAAAACACAATGTAAACATTTAAAAATAGATACTACTTTCAGTTTTACATGGAAGTAAAATTCCACATTAGAACCTCACTGGTAACTTTATGCAATTTAGTGTACAAAGAAATTAGTTGTAATGTTTACATCTTAGGATTTCAGGGACTCAGCTAACGCCATTCTTATTAACACATGTCGTTTGTTATTGCATAGAAAAATGATCATAGAAAATGTAGAAGGTACATCATATCAGAAATAGTGGTTGACTTCACCATTAATCTAACCTTAACACTTGTGTAACACGCCCATTCTTCTGTAATGTAACACATTAGGAATTATCTGAAAGCATCACAAGGATTTCCCTGATAAAGACTTCTTTTACTTACCATCCAGTAATTTTTTGGTAAAGATGATGTTTCTTGTATAAAAGAACTTTTATGGGAATCCAGATCAACAGAGTCACTACAGCCACGTAAGCAATAGAACAGGAAACAACCAGCCAATACCATGTTCCCTCGGACATATTCCTTGCCTTGTGGTAGGCAGTGGCAAACTGTTCCATAATCACAAGTATAGGGATGGAAAAAGCAGCAAACTCGAGAATCTCAAAAACCACAAGCTTAATTAGTCTTCCAGAAGCCATCCTGAGGAACAGCAAGCTGCCCAGTATCCAACACGCTCTCCCTGTGATTGTGAGCAGGCACACAGATACTGAATTAGGTTCAAGTTCCTTACCCTGGAATCACTAGCCAGAGACTTTACTCTTTTATTGACCCTCACATGGTTCGATGATCTTCTAACTTAACAACCATAGGCCCTTAAAGCAACAGGGTCATCGTGCAAGTGGCCGCTTCCATGATGTATTTGCACAAATGTATTTGCACATCCGTTATGAGAGATCAAGTGACCTCTAAAGTGTGCCTTGGAATACTGTTTTTAAAAAGAGGCTTTTAAAACCTAGTGTTTAATGCTAATTGCACAAAAATTATTTTTACAACATTCAACTTTTATTAAATAGAACCATTAGAATAATATAAATTGAGAGTCAAATAGGGAAAGGAAATATAATCTAATCCTCTATTTTTATATCTAAGCAAATTCATGCAAACAGAGACATTCAAACCCAGAGTATTCAACTTTAGGAAACTATCTCTTACTTTTCTTCAAAGTGCTTAAAATAGGAGTCTGTGGTCACTTTTTCATTCTCCTAAACTAATATCATGCCTGATACTTACAATATTTATCTGTTACTGCACATTGGTTGCCTTCTGACACAGAGTATTGTTGTTTTTACTTTACTAGTCAGGAAACTGAAATGACAATATTAGAAACCTGTTATCAGAACTAACACATTAAGAGCTATTCATATTTAGTCTTAAAGCAAATCAAATATTTAAAGACAACAACTATATTCACAAATCCTTCAAAAAATATATTTGAGAACCCATGGCGCTAGCTTTCTTTACTAGGTCTAAAGACGTAAAGATGTATAAGTGACAAGGGTTCACAACTTTCACATTCAGGGACAAAAATAAATCTGTGAATAACAAAAAGGGACAAAGGTCAAGAGCATAAGTGAAATGCTATAGTAACACAGGAGAATTTCATCTGGGCTCAGGGAAGGGAAAGGCAAAATAAGAACAATAAAGATGGATGGGGTGTTGATGACATTTCTGATAGAAAAAATTCAGGCAAGTTTCGGTGGTTAGCAAGAATCTGCTGGGGCACAGCAAGAACTAGGAAAAGTGATGCTAGCAAACTCCATTGAAGGAATATATACATATATATTCCTTCATATCCCGTAAAGGATTTGGGAAGGGGAGGAGATGGTAGACAGCGAAAAAGCAATCATTTGATCATTTGGAATGGAAAGTCAGTGATGTGGATAGAAGACAGGCACGGCACTGTCAGGAGAACCAGTTGTGTTAACACCATCTGTTGGACACTTCCTGTGGGTGACCCAAAGCCACAGATAAAACCTGGGTGGCTGGGCACGTTAGGGCTGTGAATCAAGGGCTGTACCCTGCCATTACCCATCCTTCTTCTCCGGCCACATCTGCCTAGTGTGAAAGTGCTTCAGGCCACAGAATGTCCAGCTATCAACATGAGGCTTCGTATCAGCTAATCAGTCAGACCTCATCCTTGGAAACAGCTAAGAGGGGATGAGGGTATAGCTCAGCAGCACAAGTGTCTGCCTGGCAAGCACAAGGTCATGAGCTTGATCCTCGGTACCAAAAAGAAGAAAGAAAAAAGAAATTGAGATGCCAGAAGAATTGAAAACATCATACCACAGTCATATATTGTGCACCCATGTTTATAGCAGCATGATTTGTAATAGCCAAATAGTGGAAACAACCCAAATGCCCATCAACCGAGGAATGGATAAAAAAGATGTGGAATTTTTATACAATGGAGTACGACTCAGTTAGAAAAAGGATCGCAATGAAGCTTTTATAGGTAAGTAGATGTGACTTGAGACCATACTCATCAGTGAAATAAATCAGACTCACACGTGTAAATACTGGATTGTCTCCCTAGTATAAGAAACGGAAAGAGTAAGGTTCAAAATCTTCAGTAAAGGGGCTGGAGGTTTAGCTCAGCGGCATAAGCGCCTGCCTTGCAAGCAGGCAGTCGTGAGTTCGATCCCCGGTACCGATAAAAAGGAAAAAGACAAAAAAAAAAAAAAAAAAAAAAAAAATCTTCAGTAAATATTGTGAAAGGTAACAAGCTGCTCGAAGGGGAAAAATACGGAAAAAGAAAAGAGAAGGAAGGGAAAAGAAGAGTTGGAATAGAACAGATTAGATCAATTTTGCATGTCTATATCTGGTAAGCTAAGCAACTCTTTTGACTATAACTGTGCAAAATAACAACTATTGTTCAATTCTTATCAACCTTTTTTGAAAGCCTATATTGTTATTGTTTTGGAGTTTTTTTGTTGTTGTTTGTCTCTTTTCGTTCTTGTTTTTCTTATCTTTTTGTTTTGTTTTTCCCTCTTTAAAATAAGAAAATTAAAAATTTTAAAAACAGAAAGAAATTGAGCTAAGAAATAGTAAATAGCATGAAAGAATGCCAGGATTTAAAGTTAGAGCAAGCCAAACTGTATGGAGTAGAACAATCCTTGGGATGTTATGAAGTCACTAACTACATAATGAATGAATAGAATGAATGAGGCAGTAAGTGAATGACTGAATGAAAGCCAAGCAAATGAATACAAGAGAGAGCACAGTGATGATGCTGAGCTGGAGAGTGAGAAGCTGAGAGACTGACAGCATCCTGTAGACCAGTCTCCACGGGGGCCTCAGGTATTGAATTTTCTAGTTCATATGTGTCCTTACAAAGAGGACACATTGTTCTTTCAACCAAAAGGGTTTGTGTTGGCTGGAAATTTAGCTCAGCCACATAAGCGCCTGCCTTGCAAGTGTGTGGTCATCAGTTCAATCCCCGGTACCAAAAAAAGGGTTTGTGTAAAAAGCAGACACCATATAAATTTACTAGATGATTCAGAGGAAAACACTGGATTTTAAAGAATGAAAGTGAAAGGAATCAGAGAAAACTCATCAGCTGAGGTAACTCGACCTGATCTCTCCTTCTGTTAACTCAAAGCAATATCTATATACTGCTATGGCAACGCTCTCTGTGTATGACTATGACCTTTCCTTTGAAAAACGGTTGTAAGAATGCTCATGATTAATAACAGATAGATGATAGACGATAGATAAATAATTGATTTATGTGGACATGAAGAGCGGGAGAGATCAATACAGATGCTTTGTATAACATAAATGACACAATGCCATTTTGTTTTAAAATATTGTAGCTGTACATTTATTTACATGTAAAGTTTCAAATCCAGAAAAGTATTCATTAAACTGTTAACAGCTGTCCCTAGGTTTGGGAGGTGGAGTGAAGGAGATTTTTAGCCATTCTTAACATTGCCAAAGGGGAAAAAAAATGAGAAGAAAAAGAACAAAACACACACACACACAAATAAACATTGCCATAGTTTAAATATTTCACAGGCATAAACATTAGAAAAGACTTTTAGACTAAGCAAATTTGATTTAAATAGTAACTGTGACTTAAGAAATTTGAGGCTCTATTTTTTTTTAAATCTTTCCTGCACCAGTTTATTTTTCCTTGCTTGTCCGGTAGCAGGGGCCACACAAACAAATTTCACTTCCACATGGCCATTTGTGGCTGTACTAAAGAGCAACAAAATAGCCAGGCAGCAAGCAGAAGACTAGGACAGCTTTCTAAGTGTTTGCAACAATAGTATGGGTGACAATGCTACAATATCACTCCCAACCATTACCAACTCGAGTTCCCTCAAAACTCCACATTCCATGATGGATTTGAGCCATTAACAAAGGAGGCTGGGGAGGACTGCGCGATATTTTCCTGGTCCAAGGCATAGGCTTCAATGATTTCAATTCTCAGCTCTTTCAAGGCGTGATTTGACTGAATTCCTAACAGACTGGCAGAGTAACTAGCTAGTTTGGCAAAGAAAAAAAATGCCATTATGCCAACATTAAGCTACTGGAAGGAAATAATGCCAGAGCCTGACTTGCAGACAAAGACCAAGGGAAATTAAAAGGGCTTGAAAGTTACCACCCTTCAGCTGGGACCAGCTGATTCCAGTCCTGAGTCCTGCCCTTCTAAGCCCCCTGATGAATTTGCCACACAATCACACTGCCAAAACTGGAAGAACGTGGAGGGGCATTTTCAAATCACCCAAATTCTTTACTTGGGTTAGTCCAGTACTGATTCAAAGAACACTGTGCCTTAGTGTGAACTTTATTGCTGGGTTTAAGAACGTCCTGACAGGGAAAAAAAAAAACCCCAGATTTAATTTTCTGAAGCTGAATCCTCTGTGGAAAGACTGAGCCCTGTGGTTAGAATTCACTTCCACGTAGGAGTGTTGATGCAGTGATTTTTATTTTAGTAAGCAGAAGATACTCTGTCCAGAGGAACACCTGTTCTCTACACTTCCAACTGTCATTTCCTTCCTGCAGGCAGGAAGTCAAAAATTGAAAGTGTCTAAAATCGTTAGTAATCTCAAGGCTTGGTCATTGTTTTCAGCAAAGGGTGTGTGAAACGAAGTGTACAAACTGCCTGGCATGTTCTGGCATTTCCTGGTTAGTTTCCTGTGATGTTGATGTGCAAAAAGGGCAGGAGCTGGTGGCAAACTGCTCTCGGGTTAAAGCTGGATCCACAGAGAGCTGAGTGAGGAGGTTAAACTGTGTTCCTGGGCCTCATCTACTGATAGTTATAATCCAAACAGTTGCTGATCCTTGCAAGCAGGTGTTACCAGACAACTCACCGGAAGTGAGCCTAGTAACATTATGATGCTATCTGCCATGCTACCTCCATCATCAATGCTATGATATTTTAGTCTGGGCTATACTAATTTTAAAGAATAGGATACTGTGTAATTTCGTATGCTCGTCTATTGAAGCAGTTATAATGATAATTTAAGCAATTTTTAGGAGCAAAGACAATACCATACTCATTTTTGTAACCTTCTCATACTTGGTGACTCTTGCTAAAATAAGCAAAATATAGAGAATATTGTTACATTTAAAAATTTATGTACTTTTGATTGATAGAATCAATTACCTTTTTTCTCCCCCTTCAAAACTGGAGATTAAACCCAGAAACTTGAAAAGCTTCTACCACTGAATTACATCGTTGGTCTTTATGGTACCTTGAA